TCAAGTCAGATTTTGATTTTCAGCGGTTCTGACGTGGTAATATTACTATTGTCACCTATGGTTAAAAGTTCACAATTCACTCAAAATACATCCTGATCTAAAAACTGTAGAATGTACGATGTTTAGGTTACTTTATCTTCTGTTGATAATACATCGGCAAATTCACTTTATAAACTTTATACTTTTCCTCTAAAGGATTTATAGATGGGCTTTGGACATAAAATAGCTTTCCAGTCTTTTCGATTGTATAATTGCGTTTCATAGACAACTAGAAGTCGTATGCCTCTTTGTATCATTAATTGAAAATTATTCAAAAAAAAAACAACGAAATACACTATATTCTGATACCGATTGTAGTGCACGACAATGTCTACCTGCGTCATTCAAGTCAAATGTATACGATTTCAACGCCTTTAAATTCTCATGATATTAGCTGTTTTTTTAGAATTACAAGATGTTCTGCTGTTGTATGTTACTAAACTTTTTTCTTACGATATTGAACGTCTTTCCCACTCTTCTTTGTAAAGACGAGAAACACATGGATTTTGTGGCATGTCGAAATTTTCGTTGTCGTTCATTATTATAATTTTGTACGGACGTTCATATTTGGGATGATCGAATATTGATGATCTTCCCACAAGTATTAATCGTAGATATGCTTCATCAGCCATTTGAGGAACCTCTGCCAAATATCAGAAAAAATATTAATGAAATCAGAACACTTTGCATCTTAAGATATACTAAAATATAGCTCTATCATAATCGTGACAGGATTGAGATTAAAAATAGTTAAAACTTGCAGATTTACAGCATTACTCTAGAATGCAGAAGTATGGATTTTATAGGAAGCAAATTTATTTCAGCAGACTCTCTACAAAACGTTTCAGCCGTGTTAAAGAGCTTCATCAGGTACACAAAGAACTTTCGCTTTTCCTGATGATTAGAAGACATAAGTTTGATCCAGTGGGCCAATGATGTATTATTTTTGAATTTTCAATAAGAAATAGTTTAATAGTGAATATTTTTGAAATGAAAAGTTATTCCTCATGAGATCATGAAAATTTGCATTCGCGGCGAACTTAATTGTTTTTTACTTTTTCATTATGCAACATATCTTCATACTGGATATAGACTTGCAATGTTCATCTTTTCTCTCACTAGTTCAGGTCACTACCCATATAGATCATATGGCCTCACGACTCACTCTCATTCCATCCGTTCTTCCTATCCTCCGGCACACATCCATACAAGCTGTCTATCGGGTAAAATTTCAGTGTCAAGTAGTCATAATAAGTATAAAACGCAGCAAAATATAGAGAATTCGCAAACACATCATATACACCAAGAGTCTACGAAAATTGCTCGAACGTAAATTCGTCGGAAAAAAAGCAACTTGTGACAGTGATTGATCCTTTTCAAAAGGAACAGTATGCGTTATTATCATCTTGAACAAATAATAACGGTGTAATTGCGCACCATTCTTCTTAACAATGATTAAAAAAATTCGAGCAATTTGCGTAGTGAACAATTTACATGGCGAGCAATTTTCGTTCTCCCATACACCAATACGCATTATTATCATCCATTGCATATCGAAATGAATTCCCAGCAAATACCAATACATTTTATAGAAAATTGAATTGCCCACGAACGTGGTTTTTCCAAGGCTCTCATTTTCTAGTTGTTTCATCAGATTAACGTAGGAATATCTTTATATTTCAAAGTTATACAACGAATGTTCTATAAATCTCAAGCACAATTTAATAATAAGAGAAAATAATCTCACTTGACTATGTGGAATCACTATCTGCTATTTGAAAGCTTTAGAATTAAAATAGATTTTCTAGAAATCCTCACAAAACTTGATGATTATTATTGATCGCAAAATACCAGAATTTCTTATACTACGTGGTTTCAATTATGATAGAGCAAGATGTTACATATTAAGTAAATGATGGAACGGGTAGAATCGTACACTTACATGTAAAGCAATGCTAAACTTTGATATTTACAACCTCCAGAGCCACAAGCAAGAGATGTGTGTAGCCATTTGGGATAAATGAGAAGCAGAACCGAGCGAACTGTTTTGTTCAAGTCCGGAGCACCAGAAAGGATCTTTAAACACTCTTTAATCAACAATTTGTATGAATGTGTATCTCTCGAGATTGAAAAATATCCCTATTGATTGTGTAACCAGACTCAGAACCAGGTTTTTGTAATGCTAATTATTTATTTGACAGATTTTTTCAGTAACACAACTGCAAGAGACTCATCCTTCTCGTTATCAGGAATCGAATGTAGTGTGTAGCAGTAAGAGGGATCGCCGCTACTCGATTAGCTATACATACAGAGCGCCATAAAGTGGAATAATTTGAGTACGGTATCGATCTTGCTGTAGAGCGCACTCGTTTTTAAACCGATTGAACCTTGAATCGAACAAATCCTCGAGCACACAACTAGAGGACAATTATTACAAGGGATTTTATTTACTACGGATAACTAATAATCTAGGTACTGGGTCTTTATTTCTAAAGAACGATCACAGGCTTGGTGGCCTTGAGATTCGGATCAACAATTTTTGTTAGATTTTTCAACCTTTTAACCAAGGCGGTTAATGAATTTTGTACAAAAGGCCGATTAAATTTGTTTTTGTGTTTGGAAAGCTCAACTTTTGTTTTGTCTATATTAGATTTGCACCGAGTTTTAGTTAGTTCGATTCCAATTAGTTCGTCAACAAGAGAATATGAATAATCGCTCAATTTTGTCAAACGTTTCATGTATTTCCTGCATTCAGACACACACACACACTCGTGACTACACAGAGTATAGAAAGTTACGTATTTGTTTCCGTGAAATCTAGTGTTTATTTTCGTGTAATATAATTTTCGTTTGTTTTGGACCAAAGCTGTACTTTTTGCAACGATCACAGCAAACCCAAAACAAAATGAAATCTTACAAATTTTGTTTCTTGTTTTGTTATTCTTTCTTTACTATCTCTCTGTTGCGTACACTTGTTTACTTTTATTTTTATTATTCTGTTTGTACATTCTTTTTGTTGTTGTTTGGTTCGAGTCATTGTTATTATAGGTCAGGGACCTTTGATGACTCCCACTTTTCATGAATAAATCATTCATTTATTCATTCAACTACCCGTGACTTCATGAAAAAACCTTCAAGAAACCAAGTTTAAGATCTTTTTTTGGGTCAAAAACTGTAGATTTTTGGTTGTTCCTTTTTTTACTGAGAAACTGAACTGAACTGGGTTTCTGAGTCACCAGAGCGTAAATTTTTCTATCACCCAATCAGAAAAGTTCAGTAAAATCAGTTTCTCAGTAAAAAAAGGGGCAACCAGATTTTTTCACACTGATATATTTTCTATTTAGTGCGAGTATCTTAATGGATGACTCATATTCTCTCGCACAGTTTTATCAATGGACAAAAAAAATGGGCTAATGAGCGTAGTTCTCTTGAAGAGTAACGTAGAATGCGGCATCTATTTTATTGATGCTGCCTGATGTGAAATCATTTGTTTGAAAATTTGATAGTGAAGATAACCTCGTTAGTTCAGTCTTTATAAATCAACTGATTTTGAATGGTTCTTCTTCATAGCAAATCGCATTTGTGAGAGCATTTTGTCTGATTGTTCACGTATTTGTTTGTTTATTTTCTCTTCAACTAACTTTTCCAAAAAAGGTTTACCTTGATGGGTTTAGTTTTTCTGAATTCCTTAAAGGTGTTTAGATCCTTGAATTCTCAATTGTTGCAAATAAAGCATAAAAAACTGGTTATGACATTATATTATATCATAGTTCATAAAAAACGATTGCATAACAAGAAAATTTGGCGATTTCTCTGTTCGAAAAAATCCATGCAATGATTAAAAAAAGGCCTGGTTAACCGCGGTTTTTTCCTCTTACTATGATCATTCAGCGATTCTTCTCTAAGTTATAATATCTATCAACGGTTGATTGTGAGTTCTTGATAAAAAGAGATGACATGAGATCGAATCAGAGCTATTATCTATTTTGTGTGATATAATACAATAGATTTTTAAAAATATTTTTTGTTAACTTATTTGTTTGATAGAATCTCTTCTCGATATGCGTTTAATATCAAAAACTCAATTCAATCTATGTCATAAACTCAAATCATCCACTATCAAAGTAAACAAAAAAATTAAAAACTTCGTTCTTATTATATTTTTGTTTTCGTTTTATTCTCTTTTTAGCACATCACACGTTCATTAGCTGTACAAACACAAGAAAAACATAATGTAGAAGCCAAACATTCAAATGGAGCACATGTAATTATCATTGTTTACGATAAACAAGTATCTTTTTAATAATTATTTTTGTTTTTCTAGGCTACATCAAATTATAAAATAATCGATCACACGTATGATGCCATTGTCGTAGGAGCGGGTGGATCTGGACTGCGAGCTGCATATGGATTATCAACAGCCGGTTTCAAAACAGCTGTGATTAGTAAATTATTTCCAACAAGAAGTCATACAGTGGCCGCACAAGTAAGCTTAGAAGATTTCTGAGTCCTCCAACAGATATCTATTAAGCGTCTGTAACGATTAACCCTGATAATATGAACGGATTTGATAGATTTTATTAATTCTTAACTTTTAATTAATTCCACTATAGGATACAATATTTGGTTTTTGTTTCCCATTAGGGTGGAATAAATGCAGCGCTTGGAAATATGGAGCCAGATGATTGGAGATGGCATATGTACGATACGGTTAAAGGTTCAGATTGGTTAGGTGACCAAGATGCAATTCATTATATGGCAGAAGAAGCATCCAGAGCCGTTGTTGAAGTAAATATTCAGTTGAATTTATACTGAGAACTTTTAATAATATTCTCTCTTTTTTTTTTCAGTTAGAAAATATTGGTATGCCATTTAGTCGCACAAAAGATGGTAAAATTTTACAGCGTGCATTTGGTGGACAATCGTATAATTTTGGTAGAGGTGGACAAGCAAGACGATGTTGTTGTGTAGCCGATCGTACAGGACATGCAATGTTACACACACTATACGGACAAGTAAGAAGACATCTTAAGTCTTGAAGCAACACACACATCTCCTACGATCCTACTTTTTAAACTGATTAGAGAAGTCTAAGTATTCATTTCGTTAAAAAGTTCACTAAGATATTTTTTATTAAATACAAACTAAAATGATATTTGAATAGTAAATTATGTATGATTAAATAGTTCATCAATTGAAAACTAGAAAGGACAATAAATATATTGTTTCTATTTGTTTTTTAGTCGTTAAAATATGCTACAGATTATTTTATTGAATATTTTGCCCTTGATTTGGTTATGAACAAAGATGAATGTGTGGGGGTTATTGCTATGAATCTTGAAGATGGATCAATACATCGATTCCAAGCGAATAATACCGTTTTAGCCACTGGGTAGGTTCAATAAATACGACTGTTGGTAAATAATCACTTCGTGTATATAAGGTCAACGTGCAAGATATGAAAAAGTAATAGGAATGCGTTCAAAGACAAATGTAAAGAGATGATCAATCAAGTTTTAGATTGAAAATAATAATTATATATGTGTGTAAAGAGGGAAGAGCTATTTTTGTGTGTATATCTGAAATTTGTCAATATTTAGTAGAATTTAACTAATATGTATTATCTTCTAGTGGTTATGGTCGGGCTTATTTCTCCTGTACTTCAGCTCATACTTGTACTGGTGATGGCAATGCTTTAGTAACAAGAGCTGGATTAAAAAATCAAGATATGGAATTCGTACAATTTCATCCAACGGGTATATCAAGGAATATTATCAGTCTACAGTCTTGCATCGTATTTCATTCCTTAATGTGTAGGTATTTATGGTGCCGGTTGTCTAATAACAGAGGGTTCTCGTGGCGAAGGTGGAATTTTGATAAATGCGAATGGAGAAAGATTTATGGAACGTTATGCACCTGTAGCTAAAGATTTAGCATCGAGAGACGTTGTATCACGATCAATGACTATTGAAATTAGAGAGGGAAGGTTCGTTCACCATTCACTCATTAATATCGTCTGTATGTTTACTTTTTTTCTCTGTTATAGAGGTGTTGGAAAAGAGCATGATCACATCTATTTACAATTAAGTCATCTGGATCCAAAACTTTTACATGAACGTCTGCCAGGTATTAGTGAAACAGCACGCGTTTTTGCCGGCGTTGATGTGACTAAAGAGCCAATACCTGTATTACCTACTGTTCACTATAATATGGGCGGAGTACCAACGAATTATAAAGGGCAAATAATACAAACAGACAAAAATGGAAAAGATCGCGTTATTAAAGGACTGTATGCGTGTGGAGAATGTGCATCGGCTAGTGTACATGGAGCTAATCGTTTGGGAGCAAATTCTCTACTGGATTTAGTCGTATTTGGACGAGCATGTGCGTTGACTATAGCCAGTGAGCACAAACCAGGAGAGAAAATTCAAGAATTGCCCCAGGTACAGTACGAAAATGAATAGAAAAATTCTAAATGTGAAACATGTGTTATTTTTATTTCTAGAATGCTGGTGAATCATCATTAGCAAATTTAGATAAAATAAGAAATGCAAATGGAACAACGACAACAGCACAACTACGACTAAAAATGCAAAAGGTAAGTAGTTTTTATGGCTTATGAAAAGAAGTTTAGTCGCCAAACGATAATCGATCTATATATTTTGTTCGATTAGGCTATGCAAAGTCATGCTGCTGTATTTCGTGAAGGTACAACATTGAAAGAAGGATGTAACGTAATGGATGAAATATTTCAAGAACAAAAAGATCTCAAAGTAATTCAATAATATCATTTTTCTCTTACCATGTCTATAATCATCTATTGTTTCTTGTTGTTTAGATCTTTGATCGTGGTCTTATTTGGAATACCGATCTTATTGAAACATTAGAGTTACAAAATTTATTATTATTAGCATTACAAACAATCTATGGAGCCGAAGCAAGAAAAGAAAGTAGAGGAGCACATGCAAGAGAAGATTATCCTGTACGTATTCTCTCTTTTTTATAAGAGACAAAAACAGAAGATGATCATTTTCTTACCGTAAACGATTTTGTTCGTCTGTTATATTACAAGAAAAATAATTTTCTTATTCTTGTCTTTACATATTAACTGTATCTTTCTTTTTTTGTTTTTATAGCATCGTATCGATGAATATGATTATACTGATTTAGAAAAAAATCCCATTGCTAATCAAAAGAAAAAACCATTTGAACAACATTGGAGAAAACATACATTGTCGCACACAGATCCTCACACAGGAAAAGTAAGTTACCGTACTCTTCATCACGATTACTTTAAGATTTGTATGCGGTATTCAAAATTTAAGCTTAAGTTGTAAAAATATATTTGACCTGATAGATTACAAAATGTAACAATCAGTGGCTATAAAATTCATTTCTCAATTGTATCTCAATCTTTTGAGTATTAATATCTAATTATTTTTCCTGTTTGTTTTTTATTCAGACCACTCTGACTTATCGTCCAGTTATTGATAAAACATTAGATGAATCCAAATGCGCCAGTGTACCACCAAAACCAAGAGTTTATTAACAAATATTTAGTTATTTTTTTATTTTTCTTGCCTAGTTTAGTATTATATTATTCTATCAGTTTTACGCCGACACACCATACACTTTTCCTAAAAAATGTAAGATCTAATTTACGACTGTTATTGTTTCTTTAAAACTATTTTTAGTAGTGTAATTATCGAAAAAAAAGGATATTTGTAAATATTTCCTTTATCTTATTTCTGTTGGTAATTGCTCATTCTCCTTTGTCACATTGAATTTAGTTTTTGACTGTTCATCCTATTACTTGTTTTTTTTCTCATCAGTCTTTTTAAATAAAAAAATATATTCGAATGAAACTATTGTAGAAAGTGCGTAGTTAAAATGATTAACAAATGATTTGAATCACTAATATTTCAAGATTCAATTAATAAACAAATGCTTGATGCTTGACTACAAAAACTGTTTATTTTAAAAACTAGATTTCAAATAAATCTTTTTGTACACGTGCTATTCATAGCTTATGAGGGAACTACCTCAACTGATTGATCTAGCGCTTTCGACCCCATAATTTAGCCATTGATAGACCTTGCTGAAACTAAGAAAACTCTAAAGCATTCGGGTGCCCATGGTCCTTCGGTTTCGGGATATTTGAGTTGTAAATGGATTTTCTTCTGTGACACTGGTTTTTCTTGAAAACCTGAAATGTTGAATTTTAACTTGAAACAAATAAAGGTATCTACTAGACTAGTCTCTGTACAAAGTTTCACAATTCTTGGATGTGTCTTCATTTGTGCAAAGTTTCAAGGTGAAATTCAACATTTCAGATTTTCAAGAAAAACCAGTATCACAGGAGAAAATCCACTTGTAACTCAAATATCTCGGAAACGAAGGATCATGGGCACAAATGTTTTTAGGATTTTATTAGTCTCAGCAAGGTCTATCAATGACCAAAATATAGAGTCGAAAGTGCTGGATCAGTTGGAATAGTTTCCTCGTTAGTTTTTTGTCTGCCAGCTTCTGATAATTTCTTGTTTGTCTGTGATCATCGTTAATAAGAGATAAGCTAATAATGGATACATTGCTATTCCAAAATAAGCAAACAAAAGCAAAATGTTATCAACAATCGGTATCGTATCGTTATTAATTTAAAATTAATCATTACCAATAAATCTGTAAAATGACGACTGACTACAGAATAAAAAAAAATCCATAAATCAAGTAAAATTAATTGCTCTATTAATTGTTTTAATGATGATTTCTTAGCTCTTAATAACAGACGTATAATGAGTGCTAATGTTGCCAATATAAATATTGTCATCGGTATAAAATTTAAATATAAAAGTCATAGAATAAGTAATGTTAAATTACAATTAAAACATGAAACACTTGTCAATGTTAATGTAAAATGTGATATAAATAAACACATACAAATAATAATTAAATTTAAAATATAATATAGACTAAAACAAAATAATTGCCATTTCATTGTTGGAAATATACCAGGATTTTTTAAACATAATAAAATATCTTTCAATACTAGCCCATGTCAATGTATAAGAAGTACCGGCTACAGCTGATTAGATTAAGATTAAATGAATTTGACATACAGGATAAATTTCAAATAAATGAATTGAATCAGCTAAAATAACTGATGGGGAAATATACAGTGCAACAGTTCATGGGTAAATAGGGATAAAATTAAAAATATAATTAAAATAATGTTCTATTTGTCTTAAAAATCGAATAAAAACATAAATATTTGCGTACAATTCAAATTAATGATAGTAAAAGAAATAATATTATGCAGTATAATTCAATCACATAACTTATTTTGTCACTAATACTCACGTTTGATGATTTATTTAACTCCATGACAATTTTATTCTAACGGTATACTTTAGTTTAAGTTTACCTTATCAAATTATATTTTGGAGAAATGTATACATTAAACAACAAAACTTTAAAGTAATTAATGTATTAGGTGATGGAAATGATAGGAAGAAGAACGAAGGGGCAAAATGAATAGTGAGTAACGGCTAGAATAATAGTGATAGATCAGAATGTATGTGTATGTTACATAAGTTTTGTTCGTTTTTTGTCTGCATATGATACTGATGATGTTGACTGTCAGTAAACTTTCTCAATATGACGAACGCAATTGAATCTAATATTAAAATAAGTTTTTTTTGTCGTTGATGCTTCGATGGTATCATTATGTTATGAATCATACAAGCTCCTATTTGTAGCTTCTCAGCGTACATTCATTTAATTATCTATTGTACGCGTATGAGTTATAAGATAGAAAAAATCGACTGTTTCCAATATATCTCAACAACTACAGATCAGTTAAATCTTTGTCTGCTAAAAGAGCACATCTGCACAATATATTGAGCATAAAGTTTGAAGGAACCACATTGATCGAATGAATTGTTGATAGAGAAGTGTGCGTGACAAACTTTATTCTTAGCTTCATTTTAAAAGATCGAATATACTAAAAGCTTAACCTGGACTCGAGCTATGGTTTAGCTAAAAGCGAGCCAACAAGCGTATTAAACGATGAAATTAGAGAGTTATTAGAGGCAGAATCACAAAGAGATTTAAATATTAGTTTAACTTCTGTCTCAAGATCGTCAGTCAAATCTGAAATCTGGCTAGCCAAATTTAGAATCAAGAATTTAATTAGATAATCTTCAATAGTTTATACTATGCATAATATACGTTCGTTACACGTTTGTAGGTAATAAACAAGTATGTTCACATTTTTATTTGTTTTAATAAGTATGTGCGTGAAAAATACAATAAAAATGCTATAAACAGGGCTAGGGTTATTTATATATGGAGAATGCACCAGCAAAAACGTTATATGTAACGGTAAAGATATGACTTTATCGGAATAAAACATGCAGCTCGAAAAATGCAATATTCCTTTCTCTTTATTGGTCAACGTTAACTAACGTTTTAATAATAGACAAATAATTCTTAGTATACTTTGTATTCGTACAATTTTACTCTTAAAAAACTTTTAAACTTTTAAAAGGTTTACAATGAAATTAAAATAATTTGCGTAACTAGGGTAATGTGAACGCCTCTTCCAGGCGAAAAAAAATCGTTAGAAATGGCACGAAAAACGCGTTAGCGAACGAGCGTTAAAAGAGCCGTTTAAACGCATTTATTATTGTTCAGAAGTTTCGAATAACGTGTTCTTTGACAACGCGTTTGCTAACGATCGTTAAATTAACCGTTTTCTAGCGTTTTTGTTGAACGCGTTTACCAACGACGTTAAAATGATCTTTGAAACGAGTTTATTTTATATAAAAACGCGTTTTAACGTGTCGTTTCTAAACGCGTTTATAAAAGAAAAAAATTCGAAGTTATATATCGTTTTAACGATCATTAGCAAACGCGTTGTCAAAGAACGCGTTATTCGAAACTTCTGAAAGACAAAAAATGCGTTTAAATGGCTCTTTTAACGATCGTTCACTAATTCCGAAAAACGCCTTTTCAAACGAATAGATAAAAGAAAAACGCGTTTAAACGACAAAAAAAAGCGTTGGTTTTGAAATCTTTAACTTTTTGATCGTTAAAAGCGAAAAAAACATGCGTTTTTTTGTCAAATTTTTTACCCCTGGGTGTAGTTATGTTGAAAATGCTAACTAAGCGATGTCACAATAAAAACTTTATAATTTATTAGGACATGATTTTGCAGGATATGTTATTATATGTATAGAATCTATCCAGTGGTGACTGGGAGCATGGAAATAAGCTGCTAGAGAACATCGAATTTATAGCTAAGTTATAGCCACTGAAATTCAAGAATCCGAAGCATTCATATATTTTTCAATGAATAATTATAACAAAAGACATAGTCCTAAGGATATAAAGGTTCTACCTATGCTAGAAAATATGATGAAAAGAAAAGGGTATTTTTCAAAAGACGATCTAGAGAAAATCCTTTAGTCAAGATTAGACACATAACCATATAAGATATGCTGAATTCTTGAGATCATCTTATAAGATATTGTCAAATCTTGCACGATCGTTCTTGTTGCAAGAAAATAAAAGTTAAACTAGGGAAAAGCTCGGATATTTCAATTAAATTCGGAGAAACGGACATTCCACTTTAGGAGCACGTCATCCTATTTGCATTAGTTCAGTCGACGTTTAATTTACTACAACATTATTATAAATCAAAAATATACAAGATTAAAGAAAATTCGCAGATGAAAGTTGAAATCGAAAATATCCCATTTTCGAGGCAAGATCCTCCAGTGTTCCATCATAAATAGCTTGCACAAGGTTATTAGATAACTTTGCTAGCGTCAAGGTTCGAACACAGTACCTTTAAAGTACGTGACGAAAAACGTAACTATCAAGCCATGCTGTCTCAAAAAAAATCAATACAGAAACGAAGTGCACCAACCTTTTTTGGGCCCAAGGTAACAAGACTAGCCCATAATTCAAAACCAGGCTCGGCTACTTCACTTTTGAGCATCTCGGCAGTCTGTCGAGTGCATTCTGCCTTCCTTTTTGGGTTTAAGCGACGGTACGAGCCTTGTTTTCTCGACGTGGCATCACCAACATCCAGAGCTTTCATAGAAATTCCAGTTTCAGATGTTAAGCCTCTTAAACTCTTCCTCTGATGTTGGCTATTACATGGTCTCATGGTGAATGCCTGAAATTAGGTCCATATTGTCATTCCACCTTGTTAGTCTAAAACCATTCCTCAGTTGGCAAAAGTACAGTTATTGATTTGTTTATAGAACAGATAATATGAGAAAAAATGTAAACATTTTTTTGTCATGTCTGATATTTTGAATGATGATACTTACTACTATCATAGTAGTATTATGGTTTGACTCGTGATGTATAATAAAATGAGGATAAGAACTAAAAACAGGATTCTGCTTTTTTGCCCGCGAGCGTTCGCTCGTACCTTTTCACCAACAAACTGTTTTTTCCCAGCAGAACTCTCTTAAAATAATTTGTTTCTATGACGATGGCACGTATCTCGCACTTTTATCGTATACCGCACGTACCAAG